ATTTGGTTTTACTTTCAGTTTGGTCATGTAATGGATTATATTTATTTATATATGTATATTGACAATCCCTGTATCTCTGGACTGAAGCCTAGTTTATACAGTTGATGATGTTTCTTGGATTCAGTTTGCATAGGGAAATTGATTTGTAATTCTCTCTCTTTGTTGAATCTTTATGTGGTTTGAGTATCAGAGTAACTATGAGCTCATAAAAAAATGAATATTCTTTCTGTTTTTATTTTGTGGAATAATTTGAGGAGCATTGGCATTAACTCTTCCTTGACAGTCTGATAGAATTCTGAGCAAAAACCATCTGGCCATGGCCTCTTTTGATTGTGAGACTTTTAACAACTGCTTCTATGCCACTAGGTTTGTTTAAAATTGCTTATATTATCTTTTTTTTTTTTTTTTGATGGTTTCCTTTATTCTCTCACGTTGTTCTTCTCATATTGTTCTATCATCCTTTGTTCTCTACAGCTACATATACCTAACAAAATCTTTCAAACAATACAGAAGTTACATTTGAAAGTCACAACCCATTTCTTTCTTTTTCCTTTTTTATCTTGATTAACTTCATTAATTGGAGTGTATTGGGAAAATTATCCATTTATTTTAGATTTTTCAGTGTCATAGAGTACAGGTTTTTAAAAATATATTCTTAATGATTCTCTAGATTTCTTCAATGTCTGTTGTTATGTCCCCCTTTTTTGTTTCTGATTTGGTTTATTTGGACAGTCACTCTCCGCCTGATAGTATATTTAGATGAGGGTTTGTTGATTTTCTCAAAGTAGCAACTTTTTGCTTCATTGATTTTTTTTTTTTTTTGTATTGTTCTCTTTGTTTCTATTTTATTGATTTGGGCCCTGAGTTAATTATTTCTCTTGCCTTTGGCTCATCTTTGGTGTGGTTACTTCTTTTTGTTCTAAAGCTTTTAGGTGTTCTGTTAAGTTACTTGTATGAGATTGCTCAAATTTTGTCATATAGACCCTTAGTGCTACAAACTTGCTTCTTAGAACCACCTTCATTGGGCTCCATAAGTTTGGGTATGTGGTGTATTCATTTTCATTCAATTCTAGAAAGTCATTTAACTTCTTTCTTGGTCTATTTATCATTCAGTTCCATGAGTTTGTAAGTTTCCTGTTGTTTCTGATTTGTTGATATTCAGCTTTAATCCATGGTGATCAGAGAGGATGTAAGGAATTATTTTAATTTTCTTGTATCTTTTGAGACTTGCTTTGTGTCTGATCATGTGGTGAATTTTAGAGAAAGATCCATGAAGTGCAGAGGAAAAGGTATATTATTTTCTGCTTGTTTAAAATGTTATGTAAATATCTGTTAGGTGCATTTGGTTTATGTCAGTTAGTTCTGGCATCTCCCTGTTCAGTTTTTGTCTGGATGACCTGTCTATTGGTGAGCCTGGGGTACTGAAGTCTCTCAGTATCAGTATGTAAGAGTTAACATGTAATTTAAGCTATAGTAATATTTCCTTTACAAATGTGGGTACCCTTGTGTTTAGGGCATAGATGTTAAGAATTGAGATGTTCTCTTGATGGATTTTTCCTTTGATGAGTATGGAGTGTCCTTCCCTATCTCTTCTGATAAGTTTTGTATTGAAGTCTATTTTGTTAGATATCAAAATGGCAATACATGCCTGCTCCTTTGGTCCATTTACTTGGAATTTCTCTCTCTAATTCTTCACCCTAACTAAATGCCTATCCTTGATGTTCAGGTATGTATCTTGGATGCAGCAGAAGGATATATCTTGTTTTTGTACCCACTCTGTTTGTCTGTGTTTTTTAATTGGGGAATTGAGACCATTGACAGATGTCAATGAGCAGTGTTTGTTGATTCCTATTATTTTGAGGTTGATGTTGTTATTGGTGGTGGTGTGTGTGATGGGGTTCCCTTCTTTTGACTTTGCTCGTCTGGGATTATTTTTTCTGTTTTCTTAGATTTAGTTGACCTCTTTAGTTTGGAGTTTTCCTTCTAGTACCGTCTGTGGGGCTGGATTTTTAGACAGATATTGATTAAATTTGTTTTTATCGTGGAATATCTCATTTTTTCCATGTACAATAATTGAAAGTTTTGCTGGATATAGTCAGAAATGACATTTGCGGTCTCTTAGAGTCTGCAGCACCTTTGTACAGATACTTCTAACTTTTAGAGTCTCCTCTGAATAGTCAGGTGTAATTCTAATGTATCTGCCTTTTTAAGTTACTTGGAGTTTGCCTGGTTTATTTTGGGTCTATAAGTTACTTGCAGAATTTAATAATCTTTTGTAGCATGAAGAAATAAAAGACCCAGAGATTGATATTGGGGTTCAAGCTTTTAGCTGAAGATTAGAAAAGCAAAACAGCTGGGTACTAGCTCTCACTCTACCTCAGACTGAAAGGAGATCCTGGCTCCACCAAACCTCAGACTGCTGTCTCTCCTCATCATGACTAGAGAATCCTGAGACTTCAATGTCTTCCTAGACTCAATGTGGCTAGAGAATGAATATCTGATACTGACTACTGAAGACCCTGCTCCTGTCTTTTATACCCCTCTAGTGCTGGGATTAAAGGCAAATGATCCCAGGTGCTGAGATTGTCTTTGTGTGAGCTGTTTCTCTTCAGGACTGGATCAATCTGTGTAGATCTGGATGGCCTTGGGCTCAAAGAGATCTGTCTATATTTTAATCATGAGTCCTAGGATTAAAGGTGTGTACCATCACCTCCTAGCTTCTGGCTTCTGGGATTAAAGGTGTGTATCACCATTACCTGATCTCTATAGCTTGAGGCTGACTTTGCTATTCTGAATCCTCAGGCAAATTTAATAAATCATAAATAATATATCACCACAATTTTTTTTGTTCTGTATGTTTAGTTTTTTGATTATTGTGTGCAGTAGGAGCTTTCTTTTCTGGTTCAGTCTATTTGGTATTCTGTGTGCTTTTTATACTTTGATAGGCATCTCCTACTTTAGGTTAGGGAAATTTTCCTCTATGATTTCATTGAAAATATTTTTTGTGCCTTTGACCTACATTTCTTCTCCTACCTCCATTCCCATTATTTATAAAAATGGTCTTTTCATGGTGAACCAGGTTTCCTGGATGTTTTGTACAAGGAGAGTTTAGATTTAACATTTTCTTTGAATGATGCATTATCCACTTATGTCTTTCAGATTCTCTCTTCCATCTCTTATATTCTGCTGGTAAAGCTCGCCTCTGCCATTCCTGTTCAAGCGCCTAAATTTTTCATTTCCTGATTTCCTACAGTTTGACTTGATTCTATTTCTACTTTCAGGTATTGAACAGTTATATAGATTTCTTTAAGGGGCTCATTCATTTCCTCTTTAAGGAAATCTATCATATTCATAAAGGCGGTTAAGGTCTCTTCCTTATGCCTCATCTAGGTTGGAATATTCAGAGTCTGCTGTCATATGGTTGCTGGGCTCTGTGGAGCCACATTGTCCTGACTATTATTGGTTGTGTTTTTGCAATGGCAGCTAGGCAGCTGAGATTTGGAAGACTGTAGCTCTAGGTGTTGATATCTGGTCTTGTCTTGTTGGTGGGTATTTTGTTCCTTGGTTTCTTTTCCTCTCTGGATTTTAGGAAAGTGTAGTGGCTGTTGCCTGGTAAGACATTTGTGTGTGTGTGTGTGTGTGTGTGTGTGTGTGTGTGTGTGTCTTGACAGGTGTGGCCACAGTGGGTTACAGTTAAAATGTTTTATGGGTACTGAGAGCTGGCACTTAGATTAGGGTGTAGGCTGGAGGGACTGAGGTTGTCCACAGAATGGACGGAAGCAAGGTATCCCATGGGGATCTGCTCAGTTCCCTGGGAATTGGTGCAGAGTGTGAGGAGAAAACACAGCAGAAGTTCTGCTACAGAGTCAGGGATGAGACTGGGGGGTGGGGGTGGGTGGACTTAGAGGAATGGAGAGAGGGTGAAGACTTGCAGTTAGTCCACTTGCTTCTCTAAACAGGGTGGGCTGTGGGTTCCTAAGGAATTCCTGCTGGAGGTGGAGACTGGGACAAAGCAATGGGTGGGGACAAGGAGGTTTGGATGGGAATATCTGTGTGACCCACTGGGGATGGATGGGAGCTCTTCAGTAAGTGTTCTGCTGCAGATCTGGAGATGAGGTCGGGGAATTAAATCTGGAGGAGCAGAGGGGGAGGTGAGTACTGCAGTCAGCCTACCTGCTTCCCTGCAAGGAAAATGTATTTCTTTCTGTTAGCTCAAGTGTTTGACTCACTGGCATATTCCCACCTCCTCATGTAGCACCTGATACATTATTCTCAACAAGTACTATCTTTTAAACATCTCCTAATTCACATTAGTAGCCATTGCTCCAAAGAGCTTTTCCCAGCTTCCCTCCACCCCGTATTCTATACTCCATTTAGTGGCATGGTCCCACACCACCTTGTCCTTGTCTTTACTATACTAACAAGATATCATACTGTTAATTTTGGGGGGACAGAGTCTCATGTGGCCCAAGCTGACCTTAAGCTAACTATGTAGACAAGGAGGACCCTCACCTTGTGATTCCTCTTCTGCCTGTGTCTCCTGAAGGCTAGGAAAACAGGAATGCACTCTACCAACTGAGCTACACCCCCAGCCAAGGTTGATTTGTTTTTATGTTCAGCTGATACTTGTGTATTAAAATTGTTTGAGTATAATTATGTAATAATAATGCTTATGTCTATGACTAACATGCTTATTGAATAAAAATGAACAAACAGGAAACAGGTTCATAGAGGGAGATAGATGACTTGGAACAAATTTATTTGAAACTCTATGAGGGTGAAGGCTAAGAACAAGAAAGTGCCAGACTCAGCCTGGTGCCCTTTCTCTTTTTGTATGAGAGCAGATATTTGTGATTATAATCAATACATTCTGCTCTACCCTGCCCTGCCCTTGTTTCCCAAGCTCTAACTTCTTCCTCCTCTACAAATTTAAGCTAAATCTGGTCCATTGGAAGCACTGCTTTCTCTGGGATGGGTCTCATTCTGACTTTCATTGACAGATCATTCAGTACCAAGAGAAATTGCTACAACGGGCAGCAACATAACTCTGCAAGCCTTCAAGGGACAGCTTGAATCCTACAAATATCTCACCTGGCTATACACTACCAAACAGAAGATTTTAGAATATGCGTATAACAAAAAAGAGACTATCTTCGATTCTGCATTTAAAGGCAGGGTCAAACTTAACCATACAAGTGGTGCACTTCATATCTATAATGTCCGGAAAGAAGACAAAGGTGACTACTACATGAGAGTGTTGAATGAAACTGAGAAAGAGTACAATATAATCCTGGATGTATTTGGTGAGTTTTGGAGGCAAAGGACAAATGCTTATTCAGGGACCTTGCCAATCTACTGGGAGTCAGGGGTGCTGACTAGAGAGGGAGAAGAGAACATCAGGGCACACTTAATTCATTTCTCCCAGGGACACATCTTTTTGTGAGTAACCATAACCCAGTAGAGATTTAAAATCTCTTCTGAAGTAAGTGAGCCTAAGATTTAAGGAGATATTGTATTATTTTTTTCATACTAAGACAAAATCCTCAGATAAAGAATTCAGACAAGGTATGGTTTATTTGGGCTTGCAACTTTAGAGGTTGTATGGTTCATAGTCAGTGGGATCCATCACTGTAGAACCGTGCTCCCACAGCATCATGGCAGAGGTGGGCAATGGAGCAGAGCTGCTCACCCCAGGCTAGGAGGGAGGTACTAGGATGAAAGGCCAAGGACAAGATATGCCTTTTAAACATATGTTCCTAGTGACTCACTTCCTCAACTGGGTCCCTCCTTCCAGTTCCTATCATTTCCTAATAGTCCATTCAATTATTAATCCAACAATAAATCAATCAGTTAATGAGATCAGAGCTTTTCTAACCAATTCCTTTCCACAAATACTGCCTACTGGTAACTAAACCTTCAATGTGAGGCTCTTTTGAGGAGCCATAAACAGGAAGGAACAAACCATACCACACTGGAAACAATAGACTATAGACTGTTTCTTCTCTACTTCCTTCATTATATCCTATAAGCAACCTAACTAGTTTTGAATGGAACTTAATTTTGTCTGAACTCAGACTTCATCAGACTTATATAAAAAATATACTAAAAATATAAATTGAGACAGTGTAACGAGTACGGTTTTTCTGCCTGCCACAGCTGGTCTTGTCCCGCTGCCACGCCAGCCCCAAATAACACACAGAGACTCTGTATTTGATATTATACTGTTGGCCAGGTACTAGTTTCTTATCGGCTAGCTCTGTCTTAATTATTAACCCATTTGTATTAATCTATGTATTTCCACGTGGTCTTCTTACCCGGAGCCAGCTGCCGCATACTGCTCTCTCCGGGCTCTTCATCTTGACTCCTCCTCCCTCCTTCCTATTTCCCCTTGTCTCCTAGTCCCTCCTATCTTCCTTTCCTATTGGCCAACAGTGCTTTATTATTAACCAGTATGAGAAACATATACAGAATGACATCTCCCATCATCTCCTCTTTTCTGTCTAAATAAAAAGAAGGGTTTTAACCTTAACATAGCAAAATATATTATACAACAGTTATCAAGTAAGAATCACAGTTAACAATATTTAGTCCATTAACATTTAGCAAGATTTGAAGAAAATATTTCATCATCTATTCTATCTTTGTGTGTCTAAAGTCTAAGTAACTTATCTTTAATCCTAACTAATGAAAACTATAACCATAACTACCTGTCTTCAACTCCTTCAAAGACCACAGAAGGATAATATATAAGCTCTAGAAATGACAGAGACAACTCACTGCCTGGTCACCCAAAGTTCTTTTGTAATCTTCCATCTTCAGCCCATAGGCCATAGTGTGTCTAGCAGACTCTTCAGCAATGCAGGAAACTTTAAACTGTCTTCTTGTATTGGCAGTTTATCAGTCACTTTTCTCTGTGTCCTGCATACTGTCTCGCAGACTCTTCCATGAAGCAGGAACTCTGTAGCAATGTCCATCTTGAATCAGCAGTCACTTTTCTGTGGGTCCTGCATGTCCAGTTTATACAGCATAAAGTCAAACAGTCCAGACAAGAGCAGTATCTTGTCCAAATGGCTAGTCTTGCCATATTGGAAGTAAACTCCATAACGTGTTTCTTTAATGTCCATCTTCCTTTTTGATGCAGGTGGTGTTACCAGGAGCATTTATGTCTCATTGTCAAGTAAAACCCTAAATCATTTTAAATGCCATATTCTGTAGGTCTTTGAAAGGTTTGAAGAATTCCTATCTATCTTAAATACATCTCTGTGTATCTTGAAAACCCTAACTAAACTCTAAGCTTTGACTATCATAGGTAATTATCTATAATCTGTACTACATTATACATTACATTTCTAAATGAGCTATACAAACAAGAGGAGAAATATACATATGACAAAATTGACCTTAAATTGTATCAATAAATGAAAATCCATTCCAAAACAAACTATGCATATCTATACCATAATCCCCTTTTTACCTTTAAAAAGATATTGGTTGTGATCATTAACCATTTATAACCAAGTCCATTTAAATGAAAACGAACATTTATAAACAATATTTGGGAATTTGGGTGTCGTTCTTTCCAAACTACTTCCTGCTGATAGGGGGCGCTGTCATGGGGGATTCTAAGAAGACACAGAAATCCTGGCTGTAGTCTGCAAGGCTGCTTTGTTCAGCTGTTTTGAATGTAGGATCACCTGGTCCTCTGTTTCAGGGGGTCTGGCTTGATCAAACCATATAAATCTGGAAGGAATCCACAGCTTTTTATTTTCTGTGGAAACAAAAATAGAAATCCTTTTCCCCAGTAACTTGTCCTTGAACTTAAATGTTTGAGTCAAAGCATTTTTAAAATATATAAATTGAATTAATGCAGCAGCATTTCCTTTATCAGTTGTTGTCATTTTCTCAGCAGTCAAACAATGCAGAGACAACACAATAGCATACAATAACCAGATTCTCTCTAAGCTTTTCATCTTTACATGGCTTTATTATTACTCCGTTTCTTTTATTTTTTATTTTTTATTTTTTGAGACAGGGTTTCTCTGTGTAACTCTTATCTGTCCTGGAATTCACTCTGCATACCAGGTTTACTTTGAAATCACAAGAGATCTGCTTGCCTCTGTCTCCCAATTGCTGGGATTAAAGGTGTGTGCCACCACACCCAGTTCCTCTTTGTCTATTTAAAACCATTTTATTTTTCTCTCCCAAGCCTATGTATTTTTTTAAAAACACACCGTAAACTTTTAGCACCTTTTCTTAATGTGAATCTGTCTCTACTGTAAATCTTTATCTTTTTCTAGCCATGAGTCTTTATCTGTTAAACAACAACATTGTTAAAATGAAAGTCTTTGTTTCTGCCGCGGTTATCAAAGATGGTGGCGGGTGCTTTTACCACCAGCAATGAAAGCTGTGGTCACTGCTCTCTGGTCAACGCTGCCATCCAGCAGGCATGCTGCCGGCTTGGAGATGTGGTCACTGTCATTGCCATCTCTCATACACACCAATGAATTGTTAGCAGAGTTTCTTAAAAGCCTTGCGGTTTTTTGCCGCTTATGCTGAGTCAGGAATCCTCCCTTTAAGGAGCCGCGCAAATATCTGCTTGTCTCTCGCAAAACAGAGTCCAACCGAGAAAAATGCGGGGAGGCAGCTGGCATCCAGCTCTCTCCAGACTCTCCATCTTGACTCCTCCTTCCTCCTTCCTATTTCCCCTTGTCTCCTAGTCCCTCCTATCTTCCTTTCCTATTGGCCAACAGTGCTTTATTATTAACCAGTATGAGAAACATATACAGAATGACATCTCCCATCAGAGACAGTTCTCTGGGGAAGAGCATGACAAAAATTTCCACTTACAGCCTCAGCCTAATCAGTTCATACAGAAACAAGACTAGGGCATTATCCTTGGACTCAGGAAGACCTAGGTTCAAAGCTCCAATTCAATGAAATAACTATGCCCAGAAAAACAAATGCACCCATGTTCTCACTCATTTGTGGAAGCCAAGAAGGTTGATTTCATAGTCACCAGAGTGAAGATGGACAATGAAAACCAACATAAAGTTAAATAGAAGGGGTTATCTCTGGGATTCCATAGCACAGTATTTCAAAATAACTGGAAAAAAAATCTCAAAGATTCCCAACACATAGAAATGGTAAATATTTGAGGAGGCAAATTTCGATTTTCTTTAAGTAATTATTACACATGTATATTTAATTATTACATAGTATACCACAAATTTTTACAGTTATTATGTGTCCATTAACACTTTAAAAACCCTTTGATCAGTTACTCAGTAGCTGTGGCACCATGGTGTAAGATATTAATATATTTTGACCATATTAGGTAAGATTCTTTGGAGGAAAGTGACAGAAGCCAATTCTTTGTATATTTACAGAGAGAGAGAGAGAGAGAGAGAGAGAGAGAGAGAGAGAAATGTTGTTCTACTCTGTAGAGCAATTCAAGAGAGTATAGAGGATCTTAACTCATAATACTTGGCTTTGTGCCCAATCAGAAACTCATAAAGAAAAATACACTTATTTTCAGTTTGCCTAGATTATTTAATGCACTTTGCTATGTGACCTTTTGTCTAGATACTTAATAAACACACTAACTTTGCCTCATTCTGGTTCATTATGAAACTCTTTTCTGTGGATCATCAAAGACCCATCTCTGTCCAAATGGAGGTTCCCAAAGGGGCAGGAAACCCCTTAGGCCACTTGTGGCTGTGTTGTGGTATGTCTCCCTGCTATACTGGCAGAGCTAAGAACAAAGAAATCTATGAGGCCAAGAATGAGTAGAAGCCCTACAACTTTTTTCTTTCAGGATGGGTAGGCTTAAAACATTTCCTTGGCCAGAATCAAATAAAAATTGTTTCAGAAACAACCCAAGGTCCAGGTTTCATTTTCCTCAGGAAAGAACCAATTAATCTGTTCTGCAGTTAAATGTACATTCTAGCTGTTGTCTCACAGCTGTTTACAGTTGGGAAGATGGCCACAGGCACAGTATGTGTTTGGGGTGGGAGATAACTATATAGCCACCAGTGGCCTAAAGAGTTCAACTTCCATTTGGAGTTTTCCGCTCAGGTAAAGCCCGATCCTTGATTATTCCACAGAAAAGAGTCTATGGTGAACTGGAAGGAATCAAACTTAATAAGTTTATTAAGTATTAGGCAGAAAGTCATATTTAAAAAAGACATCACAGCATCTGGCAAACTAAACAAAACCATTTTCTTTGTGAGTTTCTGATTCACAGTGGACAAAGATGTCAGGTTTATAGAGCTAAGTATCCTGTAATGACAGCGTGAAAGGCTTTGCTGTGTGCAGGTTGAGGCACTTAAGGATTCTCCCTCAACCTGAAGTCCAGGATTCTTGAGAGAAAGAGTGCCCCCGTCCCCCGGTGCTTTCTGTGGGCTTTTGTTAGAGGACAGCCCCTAAGTATCTCAGCTAGTTAGGAAACACAGACAGAAGCCAGCTGGTCTCCCCATTAGCACTTGGCTCACAGATGACCATCACGCCTTTGTTCCTAATGGCATGTAAGGAAGTCTGGCTCCCCCTCCTGGATCCACCTCAGCATCAACACCAAAAAGTAGCCTCTTGAAGGCAAAATTGCTCCCTGGCTCCATCTGTAGGAGTCTCCAGTCCATAACCACCTTGAATGGCAATCATGGCCCCTCCCTGATTCCTTTTGTAGTTTGTTGGCCAGATCCTTGCATCATAAATGCCACAAAAAAATGCACAAGTCCATTGTCTTATAACAAGTTTTTTTTTTCCAGATCCTGTGTCCAAGCCTTTCATAAAATTTGAGACTAAAAATTTGCCTGGCTCTTGTCATCTGAAGCTATCGTGTAAGATAGAGCAACAGAATGTTCAATACACTTGGTATGATGACTCGGGGTCTCTTCCCAAAGACCGTACAGGAGATGTGCTCGAAAGAATTGTCACTCCACAGAACAGGTCTACGTTTTACACCTGCGAAGTCCACAATCCGGCAAGCAGCAAAAATGACACAGTGTACTTCACTCTACCTTGTACTGTGGGTAAGAATTATCTTCCAGGAGGCTGAAAGAGCACTTGGTGACTGGTTTCTTCTGAATGAAGAAAGATATGGGGTTCCTACTCCACCTTCTGACAGAGAATGTGGTGGAGAATCTCAAAGGTATCATTGGAGTTTAAGAGATTTGGCTTCCAACTGACTTTACAGCCCCCTACCAGCCAGCTCATCTTATCATTCCTCAAAGCTGAGTCCTGAGGAATTGTAGGATAGTCTGCAACATCAGAACAATTAGGGAAAGCAGGAAAGTGGGAGAGTAATCTAGGCAAGGAAATAAGCAAAAGTGAATGAGTTCGAGAGAGGATGGTGAATAGAAGCGACGTCGTCATCCTCAGGCAGAGATTGCACCAGTTTGATGCTCCTTGGTAAGAGCAGGAAGGCAAACTCTAGGCTTCATATTTCAGATTTCTCTGTGTTACCTAGGAGCATCCATTCACAGCTTGTCACTCCCCTTTAATTCAGACCTACACAGATGTCACTGAAGTCCTAGATTTTAGAGTTAGTCACACTCAGGTCACTCCTGATATAGTCTCAGTATTAGTTATTTTTATTGTTGATCTGATAAAATACCATACCAAAACAACTTAAGGGAAGAAGGGTAAGAATTCAGCCCATTATGACAGGAAAGGCAACGGCAATGTGAGGTAGCACTTCTGTTGTCTCCACAGCCAGGAAGCAGAGACATGAATGATGGTACTCAGTGGACTTTTGTCTTTCCCACCTTTCATTGCCCAGCTGATGGGATGGTGCTGCCCACATTTAGTGTAGATCTTCCCTCCTCGAGTGTCTCTAGAAACATCCTTGACACTCCCAGACGTGCATCTCCTAGGTGAGTCCATAGCCCACAAGTTGACAACTGAGTTTAACCATCATAGTCAGTGACTAATGAGGTGGCTTACTTTCTTCAAGCTATGTTTCTCTTAGATGTAAGACAAAATAATAGTTCTTGCAATGCTACAAGGAATAAATAAATGATACATGTAACCTATTTAACACTGATCCTGGCAAAATAATCACAAATGGTAAATAGTAATTAATTAGTGATAAATTAATAGCAACTAAGTTAGGTTTGGTTCCTCTAACTCTGGTGACAACTGGACTTAGCTGGACCCCTTAATGAATTTTTTTTTTTACAATCTCCAGAACTCTATATATCCCGTATTCCATATGTAAAAGCGTCATGCTTCAGGGTTGGAGAGATGGTTCTGCAGGTAAGAGCACTGGCTGCTCTTCCAGAGGACCTGGGTTCAATACCCATCACCCACATGGCAGCTCACAACTGCCTGTAACTCCAGGTCCAGGGGAGCTGGCATCCTCACACAGACATATATTCAGGCAAACCACCAGTGCACATAAAATAAGAACAAATAAAATTAAATTTTTTTAAAAGTGCCATCCTTTAGCCCTAATATACAAGTTTTTTTTTTTCAGACTAGTTCATACCTGTGGTTATAATGCTTTTCTGTGACCCATGTCATGTCCATGTAACTTTCCTGGCAGGAATAAAGATATTCTAAAGAAAACCATGTGTTCTCTGTTTGGGGACAGGTAATGTCAATATTAGCTGTTGAAAGTGGAGCATGTTGGCTCATCTAATCCTGGCACTTGGGAGACTGAGGCAAGAGGATAAACTAGTTTGGCACCAGGCTAGACTTTGAGACCCTGTCTCAAAGCCAACAATAAAAAAGGGGGTCACTTGAACCCATCCTTCCCAAACCGACTAAAACCAAGGGGTTATGGAGAAATTATTCTTGTGCATAATTAATTACCTAACACTCACTGTCTCCTGGCTGCATCTCCTACTTGTATTCTATTTGTGAAATTTATTTTGGATGCAAGCAAGTTTTACCTCAAGTCTAAGGTGTGCCAGGTCTGAGGGAGCTATGCAGAGGAGGAGACAGAAAGATTCTAAGAGCCAGTGGGGATGGAAGACAGCAAACAAACAGTGTCTTCTGGCAGAACAGGACTGATGCACACATGAAACTCCTAGAGGCCATGGCAGTATACCCAAGGCCTGCACAGGTCCAAGCCAGATGCAGTCCCAGCAACTGACAGGGGGAAGTGGACATGAGCCCCCATCCCTAGCTCAGAATCTATCTCCAAGTGTCCACTGCTTGTAAAGAAAAAATTGGTTTTCTCTGATGGAGCCTCAATGAATATAAAAACCACACTAGAGGGCAGGCCCATGCCCAGCGGTAGGTGGCCAACACAAAATGAGTTTAATGGTATTTTGGGAGATATTTTTTGTTCCATAATGGTTTGTTTGGGCATTTTTACCTTTTATTTATATATTAATATATTACTTATATATTTATTTATATATTTCTGGTGTTATGTGTCTGCTTATGTATGCTTCTCATGCTTTTTTTTTTCTTTTTGTTCTTTTTTCTGTTTGTTTCATTCTGGTTTGTCTGTTTTCTAAAGAGACAGAGAATAAAAGTGTGGAGTTGGATGGGTGGGGAGGTGAAAGAGGGGAAAACCATGATCAGCCTATATTCTCTTAAAAAAATACTTTTTTCAATTTAAAAAAGACTGAGGTATAAAAACAAAGAGTAGGGAAATGTAGAAACGTAACCACCTTGGCAGAAATAAAGACATTCTAATAAAAAGATAATGTTGCCTTCCTTTGGATATTAAACCATTAAAACAATGACCACTGTGGTGGTTTGAATAGAAATGGTGCCCACAGGTTTATATATTTGAATGCTTGCTCATTAGGGAGTAGCCAGCCCTACTTGACTGGGATTAGGAGGTGTGGCCTTGTTGCAGTAGGTGTGGTCTTATTGGAAGTCTTAATGTCACTGGGAGTGGGCTTTGGTGTTTCAAATGCTCAAGCCAGGCCCAAGGTGTCTCTCTGGGCCGGATATAGCCTTCTTAGCTCCTTCTCCAGCACCATGGCTGCCTTCGTGCAACCATGCTTCCTGCTATGCTGATAATAAACTAAACCTATGCAACTGTAAGCAAGCCCCAGTTAAAATGCTTACCTTTATAATAGTTGCCAGGGACAGGGAGTCTCTTCACTGCAATAGAACACTGACAAGAACAGACCCTAAGAAATTCGAATTTCTCCAGGAATCTGATATTGCCTGGGTGGGGTGGGGTGGATATAAAGCCAGGCACCAGCGAGAGGAAGGACTTGTCTCCAGGAAAGAGATTTCACACACTTATGACAACTTGTCAGAACACCTTGCAGGAAATATTGCAACCAGGACAATGACATGTGGAACCATATTTTGACAAAGACAGCTTACTTATACATACCTCTTGTCTTCTATTTAAACCTGAACTTCCTGTTAAAACCTGAATATTCACATTGTAGTGGGATGTTACTGGACCTCTTTGTCCCTCTTCCCAATATAGTCTTATGTAATTAAAAAAAACCCTTTCACTATCACTTTGTCTCTTTAATTGGCTTATTAAAGATGAGTGGCCAAGCCTAGGTTCTTAGGGCTGCCTGGGCCCAGACTCTGGCCATAGTAACTTCCATAATATCTTATCGCCAGAGATCCTGGGTCCTGGAGACATTGGTATTTTGTATTTTTCCAGGCTTGTTCTTCTGGGCTGCTTTTTTTGCCTCTGCTTCTGCATGTGAACTATGGGTCTCAATGTTCTTGTTCTCATCTCAGCTGATTGGTCATGCCTTTTTGTCTTCTCCTAACGTGATCCCTCACTACAGATTCAATGTGATAGACACAGGGTTATGAGAGCAGAAGTAGGCTGACCATTTTCCTATCAATACAATACAACATTCCAAGACCTGAAAAAAAGGAAAAGGGGTAATTTTGTCTCTTTAAAAGTGGGAGTGACCACAGACAAAAATAAAGCCACTCCCACCACCCCATTTGAGAAAGGCTCAACCAATCTTGACATTCTCTTGCCAGTGGAAATTTCCTAGGAAGCACCCCAATTTCTCCTCTCGTTTTTAACACTCATTCCCCTTTCCTATGATAGCACCTCACCTACTCTTTCCTTCATTGTTATCTGTTTTCTTTTTTTCCCTGTCACCCCCCCCCCATTTCCTTCTAGTTAGTGCAAATGATTATTGAGGTACACAAAGAAGGAGAAGTGGTCCCTCTGTCCCTACAGTTATGGGGGCACACTTCAAGGTCTTCTATCTACAGCTGGCATAGCCTATCTCATTGTTCTTGAGTGTATAGGGTTGGTTATTTCCTGGTCCTACTAACAAGTCAAGGTAAGCACCCATCACAGGATTCAGCCAAGCCAATGAAATTTAAGGAATTTCCAAAGTCTTTGCATCTAAAGAGGTTGAGTTTTTGCATGGAGGAGGATTTCCCTAGGTAGCTGGGATTAGGTTCTGTTTTAAGAGTGCCATCCCTATGCCTAGTCCTCCCCTTCCTTCTCAACACAGTGAACAAGGTCTAAGTGTTTTCGGTTTTATTCTTTCAGCAAGATCCTCTGGAGTACGCTGGATTGCAACGTGGATAGTGGTCATGGTACCCATCATTCATGCCATATTGCTGACCTGAGATAAACTCTTCTCACTCAAGAATGAACCTTCAAGGCCACAAGATCCTGCCTTCATCCCCAGCAGTGCTCCTGCCTAGGAAAGCAGCTCTGGCTCTAAGGCACAGAAAAAATTATGTTGTTGAACATTTGTGAGGGTTTTTATTTTCTTACAATCCCAGGGTTAAATCCAGGGCCTCGAGCATGCTATAGAAGTGCTGTGCTACTGACCTGTGTGCCCATCCATTTACAAAAATTCTTATAGTAACCTTTTAAAAGTTGTGCTTAATTTCTAATTTTACATACACTGTTTCTTTTCCAACATACATTAAAGATAAATTCATTATTTTCACCAAAATACATGACTACATTATCCTAATGTTCTTTCTGTTTTAATTGATTCATTTCTTGTACAATGTATCTTTTTTTATTTTACATGTCGATCCCAGTTCCTTCTCCCTTCCTCCTCCCCTCCCTCCCTCTTACCCTCTCCCCCCTCACATGTACCCTGACAACCATCCCCTCCCATCCACCCACCCCAATTCCATATGTAGGGCAATGCCATCCAGGTGGGGTCATGTAAATCTGTCAAGTCATTTGGAGTAGGGACAAGGACTTCTCTCCTGTCTCTAGGTTAAGGCAGTATCCCTCCATGGGGGATGTGTTCTCAAGGTCCTTTTTTGCACCAGGAATACATCCTGGTTCTACTGTATGAGGTCCCTTAGACTGCTCAGTCCTTCTAGCTGAGACCCATGTTCAGGGGGTCTGAGCCAGTCCCATGCTGGATTCCCAGCTCTCAGTCTGGGGTCCCCTTAGCTCCTCCTTGTTCAGGTCAGCTGTCTCTATGTGTTTCTGCAACCTGGTCTTGTCCTCTCCCTCTGCATCTGGATTCTAGTTCAACACAGTGTTTAGTTAGGGTGTTTGCTACTGTTTCCAACAGGTACTAGATGAGGGCTCCATGATAGTGGATAAGTTAGTTGTTGATCTCACTATCAGGGAAGGGCATTTATGGTAGCCGTTCCATGGTTGCATAAATTGTTAGTTGGCGGCAGTCTTGTAGGTCTCTAGACCGTTCTTTAGGTTCAGTTTTCTCTTCAAACCAATAATGGCTCCCTCTTTTATGTTTGTTTTCTCTCTCTCTCTCTCTCTCTCTCTCTCTCTCTCTCTCTCTCTCTTTCTCTCCTATTCCTACCCTGACTCAATCTTCCTAATCACACTGCTTTCCTCTCCTCCCCCTCTCTTTCTCCTACATCTCTCTCCGTTCACTGCCCCCCCCCACTTCCCATGTCCTCTGGGGGACTTGTCCCTTTCCCCTTCTGTGAGGGACTTTCTATGAATCTCTTAGAATACACCTCGTATCCTAGTTCCTTCAGTGGTGTGAATTATAGGCTGGTAATCCTTTGCTCTAGGTCTAAAATCCATATAAGTGAGTACATACCATTCTTCTTTTTGTGACTGGGTTACCTCATTCAGGATGGTTTCTTCAAGTGCCATCCACTTGCCTGCGAATTTCAAGATTCCATTATTTTTTTCTGCAGAATAATATTCCATTGTGTAAATGTGACACATCTTCTTTATCCATTCTTCAGTTGAGGGGCATCTAGGTTGCTTCCAGTGCTGCTATGAACATAGTTGAGCACATGTCTTTGTTGCATGGATATGGATCATTTGGGTATATGCCTAAGAGGGGAATTGCCCGATCCTGTGGTAAACTGATTCCCATTTTCCTGAGGAACCACCATACTGATCTCCAAAATGGCTGTACGAGTTTGCACTCCCACCTGCGAACAGTGTTCCCCTTTCTCCACATCCTCTCCAACATGAGTTGTCATTGGTGTTTCTAATTTTAGTCATTCTGGCAGGAATAAGATGGTATCTCAAAGTTGTTTTGATTTGTATTTCCCTGATAGCTAAGGATGTTGAGCACTTTCTTAAGTGTCTTTCAGCCTTTTTGATTTCCTCTATTGAGAATTCTTTCTTCAGTTCTGTACCCCATTTTTTAATAGGGTTGTTTGGTGTTTTGTTGACTAGTTTCTTGAGTTCTCTGTATATTTTGGAGATCAGCCCTTTGCCAGATATAGGATTGGTGAAAATCTTTTCCCAGTCTGTGGGCTGTCATTTGGTCTTGTCCACTGTGCCTTACAGAAGCTTCTAAGTTTGAGGAGGCCCCATTTATTAATTGTTGATCTCAGTATCTGTGCCCCTGGAGTTATGTTCAGGAAGAGGTCTCCTATACCAATTTGTTCAAGGGTACCTCCTACTTTCTCTTCTAAGAGGTTAAGTGTGGCTGGATTGATGTTGAGGTCTTTGATCCATTTGGACTTGAGTTTTGTGCATGGCGACAGACATGGGTCTATCTGCAGTCTTCTACACACCATCATCCAATTGTGCCAGCACCATTTGTTGAAGATGCTGTCCTCACCCCATTGTATTCTTTTAGCTGTTTTGTCGAAAATCAGGTGTTCATAGGTGTGTGGGTTAATATCAGGATTTTTGATTAGATTCCATTGGTCTACCTGTCTATTTTTGTGCCAATACTAGGCTATTTTCAGAACTATAGCTCTGTAGTAGAACTTAAAGTCAAGGATGGTGATGCCTCCTGAAGTTCTTTTATTGTATAGGGTTGTTTTGGCTATCCTGGGTCTTTTGTTTTTCCATATAAAGTTGATTATTATCCTTTCAAGGTCAGTGAAGAATTGTGGTGGGATTTTAATGGGGATTGTATTTAATCTGTAGATTGCTTTTGGCAAGATTGCCACTTTTATTATATTTATCCTACCTGTCCAAGAACATGGGAGATCTTTCCATTTTCTGGTATCTTCTTTAATTTCTTTCTTTAAAGCCACAAAGTTGTTATTATATAGATCTTTTACTTATTTGGTAAGTGTTACCCCAAGATACTTTATGTTGTTTGTGGCTATTGTAAAGGGTGATGTTTCTCTGATTTCTTTCTCAGCCTCTTTGTTGTCTAAATAAAGTAGGGCTACTGATTTTTTTTTTTTTTTTTTGAGTTTATTTTGTATCCTTTTAGTTTGCTGAAGGTGTTTATCAGCTGTAGGAGTTCCCTGGTAGAGTTTATTGGGTCGCTTATGTAAACTATCATATCATCTGTAAATAGAGACAGTTTGACTTCTTCCTTTCCAATTTGGATCCCCTTGATCTCCTTTTGTTGTCTTATAGCATTAGCTAGAACTTCAAATACAATATTGAAGAGATATGGAGAGAGGGGGCAGCCTTGTCTTGTTCCTGATTTTAGAGGAATCGCTTTAAGCTTCTCTCCATTCAGTTTGATGTTGGGTATTGGTTTACTGTATATTGCTCTTATTATGTTTAGGTATGTTCCTGTTATCCCTGATCTCTCCAAGACCTTTATCATGAAAGGGTGTTGAATTTTGTCGAAGGCTTTTTCAGCATCTAGGGAGATGATCATATGGTTTTTCTTTTTCAGTTTGTTTATATGGTGGATCACATTGATAGATTTTCGTATGTTAAACCATCCCTGCAATCCAGGTCATGGTGGATGATTTCTCTGATGTATTCTTGGATTCAGTTTGCCAGTATTTTATTGAGTATTTTTGCATCAATGTTCATCAGGGATATTGGTCTGTAGTTTTCTTTCTTACTTGTGTCTTTGTGAGCCTTGGGAACCAAGGTTATTGTGGCCTCATAGAAAGAGCTTGGTAATGAACCTTCTGTTTCTATTGTGTGGAACAATTTAAGGAGTATTGATATTAGTTCTTTCTTGAATTTCTGGTAGAATTCTGCACTGACGCCATCTGGCCCTGGGTTTTTTTTTTTTTTTTTTTTTTTTTTTTTTTTTGGTTTGGTTTTTTTGTTTGTTTGTTTGTTTGTTTTTTGGTTTGGAAGGCTTTCGATGACTGCTTCTATTTCATTGAGGGCTATAGGTCTATTTAAGTTGTGTTTCTGTTCTTGATTTAATTTTGGTAAGTGACAGTTATCCAGAAATTTGTTCATTTCCTTTGAATTTTCAATTTTTGTGGAATACAGGTTTTCAAAGTATGACCTGAAAATTGTTTGGATTTCCTCTGTGTCTGTTGTTATGTTCCCCTTTTCGTTTCTGATTTTGTCAATTTGCATGTTCTCTCTCTGCTTTTTCGTTAGTTTGGATAAAGGTTTGTCTATCTTGCTGATTTTCTCAAAAAAAAACCCAACTCTTTGTTGCATTGATTTTTGTATTGTTTTCCTGGTTTCTATTTTGTTGATTTCAGCCCTCAAGTTGATTATTTCCTGGCATCTACTCCTCTGGGGTGAGTTTGCTTCTTTTTGTTCTAAGGCTTTCAGTTGTGCTGCTAATTCTCTAATGTGACTATCCTCTGTTTTCTTCATATGGGCACTTAGTGCAGTGAACTTCCCTTGTAACACTGCTTTCAAGGTGTCCCATAAGTTCGGGTATGTTGTGTCCTCATTCTCATTGAATTTTAGAAAGTCCTTAATCTCTTTCTTTCTTTCTTCTTTGACCCAGGTATATAGTGCAATTGTGTATTGTTCAGTTTCCTTGAGTTTGAAGGTTTTCTGCAATTGTGTTGTAGTTGAATTCGAATTTTAAAGCATGGTGGTCTGGTAAGATACAGGGGACTATTCTAAGTCTCTTGTATCTGTTCAGGTTTGTTATGTCACCTAGTATGTGGTCAATTTTAGAGAAGGTTCCATGTGGAGCAGAGAAGAAGGTATATTCTTCTGTGTGTGGATGGAATGTTCTATAGATGTCTGTTAAACCCAACTGAGACATAACTTCTGTTAGTTCTTTTGTTTCTTTGTTGAGTTTCTGTCTGGTGGTCCTGTCTAGTGGTGAGAGTGGTATGTTAAAGTCTTCCACAATAAGTGTGTGAGGTTTTATGTGAGGTTTGAGTTTTAGTAGCATTTCTTTTATGAATGTGGGTGCCTTTGTATTTGGGGCATAGACCTTCAGAACTGAGACTTTGTGTTGATGGATTTCTCCTGTGATGAATACGAAATGACCGTCTTCGTCTCTTTTGATTAATTTTGGTTTCAAGTCTAACTTGTTAGATATTAGAATAGCCACACCTGCTTGCTTCTTGGGTCCATTTGATTGGAAGATCTTTTCCCAACCCTTTATCCTGAGGTAATGTCTCTCTTTGAAGCTTAGATGTGTTTCTTGTATGCAGCAGAAGGATGGATTCTGTCTTCGTATCCATTCTGTTAGCCTGTGTCTTTTTATAGGTGAGTTAAGATCATTGAGGGTGAGTAAGGACCATTGATTGTTAACGGTTGTTTGTTTTAGATGTTGTTGGCAGTGTGAATATATTTGTCCTGCTTTACCCTTGGTTTCTGGTGTAGTTGGATTATCTGTTGCCTACATTTTTGTGGGCGTAGTTACCTTCCTTAGGTTGGAGTTTT